GTACAAAACTACAGACTTAGTATTTTGACATCACAAACATCTAATTTGAATCAGTGCTGCATTCAACATACCACATGACACAAAAATCGATGTTTAACTGTGCTTTTTTAATATTTACTTTTAAACTAAGAAATTAAGTAACCTATAATATTAAAATTTAAATTATAATGTACAGTTTGATAACAAACTTATTGATATAAATTCATGAAATAGTAGTTCAATAAAATTTTAAATGCGAGTCAACGTGACCTTTAACCTGTGAACCGTCTGGAAAGGGTTAAAACTACTTTAAAAATCTCAATACTTTTTAAGAACTCAATATCACCTACTGACTAATTATATCTCTTCTACCTTGTAGTCATGTAATGAGCACTGTAATTACAGTGAGAGAAATAAAGACTAAATTTTAATTCAAAGACCCTGAACATAATGTTAAAACAGATCTTGCAAACAGGTAAGTTAAGGAAATTAACTTTATGTAGAGTAGAAAGTTCATAAACCAACCTCACAAAGATTACTGTCATACTTTACAGCAACCCTTTATACTCAAAACTTATAAACTACTCCAGAAGTTAAAGTAGGAAATAATTTAGAGTTATATTCTTCTTCAACAAATGTATACGAGCTGAAATCAGTATAGAGTTTAAAAGTACCATTTTATTCACTGCTTACAGATTATGATATAGTTTCAATGACAATATATCACTTGTTAAAACCCATAAATATGAATACCATCAAATTAAACTTATCTAAAAATCACCTTTACAGAAAAGAGATACTACATAAAGAGCACACCTCACTTCAGCATTGATAGTCTGTATCTACTTCTGATCATTTGAAATACTGCCTCATTCCTCAGTTGGTATAATGCCAAGCTCTCCAAAGTCACATATGGGTTCAGGCATCAATGTCTATGGTATTTGAGAATATTTCAAAAACGCTCTATCACATTTAGAAATTAACCTTTGCCTTATCCAATTCATGATCTCTATAGTTTCTTGTTCAAGGTAATCTCTCATAATCCTCATAGTATTACAATAGGCATTATTCTGTATGTAGGAGTAAGTGTGGTTTAACTGCCTCCTCAAAAGGGTGTACAACCAAATCAATATATCATCAAGCAGTAAATAAGCCCTTTGAAAGCAGAATAAAATTGTCATATCCATTCACATTGATACCTTTCCACATCATAACTGAAATGTCACATTGAATAAGGTTGCACTGAATATATCTCTCATCTCTGGCTCTCCAGCTACAAGCCTGTCAATTTTTGGTAGACATGAAACCTTTAGTTGTTTACAAAAGTTCAGGAATCTAATGACACTGCTGTCAGTTTTAATGACCTTGCATTAAGAGTATGACTGTACCATAAATTATAGAAACAGTCAAGAGAGAGGGTAGCAAAATGAATAAAGCATTCACCTACCAACAGCATGGTTGGGGACAGCACATATCTGTTCATGATTTAAGTTAACCCTAAATAACAGTGCAATAAACATTTCGGTTGGATACCAATGAGATGTTATTTCTAGTTATCATTACACATTAATCTTGGTCAGATAGAAGTAGGGAAGTAACTCTTGTTAATATTATTAATTACCTAGGGCACTGTCAGACCACAAGTAGAAAAATATTCTTTAAACCCTTCGCAATGGGAGTCCTTTTAAATGTTTTTCAGCACAAGTCACTGTGTTACATCCTAAATTTAATTAAAGACCTTTAATAACAATGTATGTGAATGAAATTAATATTATAATATGTGTGTTATAGAAGTTTTATTTTATCTAAGTTTTAAGTTCTGTATTTCAAAATAAACCTTTCAAAAACTACTTAAAACTTCAGTATTGTCACATGACCAACGAGCTCTGAAAATCCTCTAACTTGGCTCTCTGTATCTTCAATAATACAATGGTAGTTGAATAGAGGTACGTCTAGACAATAACTGGCTCATTCATTAAAAAGTTCTCTGAATGAATACAGTTGGAACAAGTAATAAATTTTTCAACCCCCCAAAAGTTGACACACCCACTTTCAACAGATTTGTTTGAGCTTTATAGCCTACATGTAGATGTGTACATAACATGTGTATATCATTAGAAAGAGGTCACCTTACATTATAATCTAACAATGATTATTTTGAAATTGGCACACAGTTGTCATCACAAATTTCATGAAATTGACTGTAGTATTGTTGGCTGCTTGATTGACTATAGCGCTTACGTTGTTTCTTACATAAATATGTTATAGTTACAGTTTAAATTGTATTTAGGTCTTACTATTATATTTTGATTAATTATGTATTAGTTAAGTTTTACAATGCTTAATTAAATGGCTTATGATATTACTCACTGAACAATAATATTGCCAAAGTGTTGCTCATGTCTCCTAAAGAAACTGTAATATGCCTCAGGGGCACCAATGATTTGTGTCGAGATGAATAATAAGTGGTAAAGGACAAAAAAGGAAAATAAAGCATCAAATATTAACTATGTGAAAAGGAAAAGACCTGAAATTACGAATTTAACAAAAGGAAAATCTTTAAAGATATTGTATAAAAAATTAAAATGTATGTTTTTTTCTTATTTCCTTGTCATTAGCTAGACTTAGTGATATGG